CAATGATTAATCAATGTTTCGATCAATCGAATCGACTTAGCGGCATCAAAAGAAAAAGAGAGACTTTATTGAAAGGTGGCTCTCTTTGAAATGGGAATAGAAAATAAATATATAAGATTAGAAGCAAAAGAGCGCGCACACAGGTATTTTAATCTTCTATTAGCTCAATAGACATTCGAGAAGTGGTATATCGTAACGGATACATATAAACAAGCGATGGGAACAGTTATATACGTCGACTGATATCGTGAGGATCGTTACAGATAATAATCTTTGCCAGTTCGCGATATGTCTACTGATGAATTAACTAATTACATCGCGATCAATGATCATAGCGAGGCGCTTGATTTTTCACTCGATGATCTTGCAACCTGCATTTATTTATATATATAGCTATATATATACCCCATTTGTAAAGGGAATGGTATTATAAAAGTTGGAAATATTGTCGAACCGTGACGCTTGACGCTATTCGTGTCTCGATTCAAAGACAAAGAAATCAATCGTTTTGTACCTTGTATACATATATATAAATAAGAGAAATACAATAAATAAATATAAATTACGAAATGCGAGCGTATTTTCTTTAAGCGTGCAAAGAATTATTTCGAGAAGAAAAAAATTCGCGACTAAATTGATATAAAAAGTGACATGATTTATGCATGATTTGAGAATAGTTTTGATTCAGACAATTACGATGAGAAATTCATCTCGAGCTTTTCTTTTCGCTATTGGGTAAATCGTTGCGGCTTTTTATTTTTAACTCTAATATTACAGTGGAAAAAAAATTTATTTTATTCAAGCAAATAGGATATTAGCATCAAATAAATTTTTTTAAAACAATCAAAATAAATTTGCCTTAAATTTAATTTAAAGCAAATAAATTTTATTTGAAACAATAACTTTAGTATTTCAAAAAATAATTTTAATATTATAAAAAATAATTTTAGTATCTGGTACCAATAACATTTAATTGACTCAATTCAAAATTATTTAATTCAAATATCCGACTACTTGTCTCATAAATATTTACTTGAATCAAATAAATTTAATTTCAAGACAAATAAATTGTATTTGAAACAATGACTTTAGTATTTGAACCAAATAACATTTAATTGACTTAAATATAAATTATTTATTTGATAATAAACAAATAATAACGGTTGTTTGAATCAAATTTTTTTTAAGAGAATAAAAATAAATTTGCCTTAAATTTAATTTAAGGCAAATAAATTGTATTTGAAACAATAACTTTAGTATTTAAAACAATAATTTTAATATTAAAGAAAATATTTTTAGTGTTTGATACAAATAACATTTAATTGATCGAATTCAAAATTATTTAATTAAAATATCTGATTACTTGTCCGCATTATCAAATTTACTTGAATCAAATAAATTTAATTTTAAGACAAATAAATTGTATTTGAAATAATAACTTTAGTATTTGAAGCAAATAACATTTAATTGACTTAAATATTAATGATTTGATTCAAGAAAATATTTATTTGTTAATAAATAAATAATAACGGTTGTTTGAATCAAATAAATTTCTTTTTCACTGTATAGTTTCATTGTAATTTTGATGAACAAAAAGTTTTGAACGTTCAAATGAACAAAATATTTTTTGTTAAAAATATTTTCATAGATTATTGATTACAATTCAAATTAAAAACTCAAATTTTACATTTAGAAACATTATAATTAATTTGCTTAATAGTGACGCAAAATTATAGTAATTAAAATTTAATTTGAAGAAGAAATAAATAAATTTCGTTCATTTGAACGTTCAAAACTTTAACCTCCTTAATTTTGAACGTTCAAGTGAAAAATTTTTTTCGAAAATTATTAAACTAAATGTAAATATTTATTTAAATAATTTTAAATATTTCTATTTTGAATAGAATAATATTTATTCAGTTAAGAATTAATTTTTTGTACGCAGTAAATAATATTTCTATTAAAAAGCAAATTAAAAATAGTAAAAATATTGGTATAGTAAAAATATCTAAATTATATGAGAAAATTTACGAATCTTCGATGAATTTTTTTGCAGAAATAAAAATATTAAATAAATAAAGAATAAAAATAAAAGTTATTTTGTTCATTTGAACCTTAAAAACTTGTGGATCATAAAATTTACAATTCGCCCTGATCCACAAGTTTTGAAGGTTCAAATGAACAAAATAATTTTCATTAAAAATTATTATTTTTATAAATTATCATAGTTTCAATAAAAATTAAAAACTTAAATTCTACATTTAAAAACTTTATAATTAATCTTCTTCATATAGCGACGCAAAATTATTGTAATTAAAATTTAATTTCAAGCAGAAATAAATTAATTTCTTTCCCTATACGATTTTCCAAATTTTCAGAATAATTTTTATTATTCAAAAATTTGTTTCAATAATAAATAGAAAATTATTTTTTTCCTTTAATATAATGAAGATTTTTTTAATAAATGAGAAAAGTTTTAAAAAGTTATATAATAATCTAGAAAATAATTATCTGCCCATTAAAAAAATATTCAAAATTTATTTATATACTAAAAACGGATTTGAAAATTTATTTAATATATTAAATATTTGAAAATTCATTCTTTCCTGCAAAACTAATTATTATAATTAAAAATTTAAAATACTAAAAATATCTAAGAACAAGAAAGGAATGTAAAGACTTAGAAAAAATAGTAACCAAACAGGCACACTTTAGTAAAGCGTAACAATAAATTACCCATTAAATTTCATATAAATTCCGATTAGAATTAAAATTTATTATAATTAATTCACGATCTCGATTATAGAAACGGAAGAAATCGTAAAAACAATTTTATCGTTTACCAAATAAGTGGAAAAAAATAACAGAATTTTAAGAAAGAATAAATTTTAAATACATTAATGTAAATTAAAAAAAAATAATATACAAACAAAATATATAAATATATTTTATATATTTTTTTTAAATACACATATATATTATTTTTTCTATACACAAATACGTAAAATATTTCAATTAATTCCTTTACTTTACTGTACTCTTTTATTTCTAGTAATAAATTTTTAATTAACTTTAGCTAAAGACGATCGAAATAAAAACAATATATAATTTGCGGAGCATTATAGTTCCGCATACTCAATAGAAAATATTTCTCGTACAGAACATTAATTGAATTGTTGACCTTCTTTTGCAGATAATACTGTGAATACAGTTGATAATAATGAGGTGAGTGTAAATATTATTTAAATATTACTAAATATATATTAAAGTATCAAAATTTTGATAATTATTTTATTATACAATAGTAAGAGGAAAATTTTATAATTCATACTCTAAAATACTTTTGCGTTTCTATTTGGCAATAATTTAATATCGATTTAATTCAATTACCTTATTTTTTAAATCTAAATAAAAATTATTAGTGGAAATTGAGCCACGAATTCCGTTTAGTACCTATGAGAATTTTAACTATTTTTTTCTTCAGTTTTCAGTGAAATTAAGTAAGAAAAAATATTTGCTGTATGATTTTATATATTATAATTGTCTCGATGTTTAATATAATAATTTAATAGTATTAGTATTTAATATTATTATAAATTAATTAATTAATTTATTTATTAATTTATAATTTATATTAATTTATTAATATAATAATTATATAAAAGTTTATTTACTCTCTAAACGAATTAGTAAAAATGTTTACTAATTAGTGACAGACCTTTTGATTTGGAATTAGTAAATTTTTCTTTGACTTTTTGTTTTTGAATTAGAACTTTTTACTAATAAATTAGTAAAAAATACCATTTATTAGTGAAATTTACTAATTCAAAAGCAAAAAGTCAGTCACTAATTTTTACTAATTCAAATTAGTAAACATTTTTGCTAATTTATTTATAGAGATATATAATAATTATAAAAATACATAATTATTACAAAATAATATTTTATAGTAAAAATTAGTGAATAATTTTACTAATGCGAATCAGTTGCTAAATTTTTGCTGTAATTTAAATTCAGGGAAGTAAATTGGGAGTAAATCGAGTTAACAAATAAATATTTACTTGAATCAAATAAATTCTACTTATTTAAATTTTGTTTCATTGAAATTTCGAAAGATTAAATGAAAGAGTTTTTTTATGTCTAAATGTTTTCTAAAATTACTATGCAAAAACGGAAAAATAATTTAAAGTCAACATTTATTTAGTTGAAAATTAATTTTTTTGTGTATAAAATAATATTTTTTAGTAAAATACAAATTGAAATAAGTAACAAAATATCGGGGTTCATTTGAAAATGAAAATTTCAGGGACATCGTATTTTTAGTTAAACAATGTTGATATAATAATGACGAGAAGAGAATAATTTTAGCTTTTTGTTAAAATCATTTTATTTTAAATATTTTGTAATAAAAGGCTTAAATAATAATAATAATAATAATAATAATAATAACAAAAATATTTGAATTTTTCCCGAATTATTCATAAACAGCAGAGTTAGTCCCTCATTTTTTCATAGTTTTAATTTTTCAATAAAAACATTAATAAAAAATAAGAATAATATTAATAACAAATAAGCGAATAATAAAAAATTATAATGAAAACAATAACAAACATTAACAATAATTGAATTATAATAAAATTCAATCAAATTTATGTCTTTAAAGTTTCAAACGTTCAAATGAACGACGATATTTTCATAATTCTTTTTAATTTGTATTTTATTGCAAAATATTGTCTTTATAATTAAAAAAGTAATTTTTATGAAATGAATATTCAATTCTAATATTTTTCATTTCAGTCTATTAATTTTTAAAAATATCAAAGTCCACAGAAATATTTCCTTTATTTGAACTTTTAAATTTTCAGGGAAATTCAAATTGATTTGGTAATTCAAATTTTTTTTGAAAAATGTCAATTAGCCGATTATTCAAAGAAAGAAATGTAAAACATTCAACAACAAAAAATTAAAAACTATAAACCAAAGAAATACAAATAACATACCTTTTAATTCGTGTTAAATTCGCAATTAATCAAAAATCCCAATTTTCGAAAAATCGTGATATCCTCACAAGTTGTGTACAATGTTCACTGTTTCCAAGAGCACCATTATTTTTTTTCAAAATCACAAAATCAGTCACCTTCACTTTTTAATTTTGATAGGAAAAAAAAGTAAATCAAAATATCAACAAAACACAGTCATTAATCCTCCAAGCGAGTTTTTCGGTCCAAGTGCGTGCACAGAAATTTGTTCCTTACGAAAATTCACAATTCGTATCCAAATTTATTTATCACTATTCAAAATTCAGTAGAAAAAAAAAAATTTGTTTTTCACAATTTCGAAAAAAAAAGATAGTAAACTATCCTCTGGAGAATGAAAAAAAAAGAAATTGTACCCTTGAATAAAATAAAACCGCAAAAAACAAAATCGGTTGCTTTGCGGTAGCGCGGGTGTTTATATATCATATATAGAAAAAAAAAACAACAACGCAAGGTGTCAATGCGACGATGACTGTTAGGTGAATGATCTTTTGGGAAGTGAGGGTGTCTTGATTGTTAAATCACTCCCCACCTGTGTGAGAGAACCTAATGATTTTGGTCTGTCAGTCAGTGCCAGACGTACCAGCGAATGGCACGCTCACTATACACTCGTCAGTGGGTCCTCGTTTTTTTTTTCTTCTTTCCTCTCTTTTTCTTTCTTTGCGCGCGCAAACGATCTCTTTCTCTCTTAACTATGCACGTTAGGGGGCCTTATAGATACTGTTTGTTGAATCGCAAATGCAAGGTCCCATCCACTGTTGTACAGGTGGGACGTGGGTCCTGAGGGTCCCCTTTAACATCGATGAGGGGAGGGGGAAATTCTCGATGAATGTGGGACTTACCTTCGTGGGTCCACAATGAGTAGTGGGAGGTGAAAAGGTGGAGCCTATTTTGCGCCCCTCTTTCTTATGGTCCCTTCCTTTTTCACCTTCATATTTCTTCTCACCACCACCACCACCGACGACAACAACAACAACCACTATCACATGGACCTCTTCGGGTCTATGACTTATTGAAAATCTTCACGCAACTCTTTTTTTTATTTATGTTTTCTATATGCCTTGAATTTAGTCGATTCAAGGGAATATGGATCTTTTTCTTTTCTTTGTTTACGCTTTTTTGGGAGTTAGGTTTTCTTTCTTTACTCTCTGAATCTGAATTAGTAGAATTTTACTAATTTAATTATTTATTCTACTAATACTAATTTTCTACTAAAAAAATTTCCATTTTTGATTAATAGAATATAACAAATTGTAAGTAAAATTTTAATAATTTTTTTAGTAAAATTTCACTAATTGCTAGTTGTCTAATTTAACTTCAAAAAAATTATTTTAGTCAAATAATAGACAATTACTTGTCTATTATAAAATTAATATTTACTTGTATCAAATAATTTTTATTTGTGTCAATTATAATTATTGTATTTGTTTCAAATACTGAAAATATTGGTTCAAATATATATATGATTTATTTGAATCAAAGGTGTGCGCAGAAAAAAAAATAAAAAACAACTTAAAAAATTCTTTATTTTTTATAATATTTGTTTAATTTCTACTCTCTAAAATTAAATGAGCGAGAAAAGTCGTATAAAAATTCAATTTAGTGAAAATTTCCACTAATTTTTAGAAAAATTTGACACTATTTCATTTAGTATTTTTAAATTTTCAACTAAATTATATTAGTTAAAAATTACTAAAAATTGGTAGAAATGTTTACTAATTTAAATAAGTGGACAATTTTTTACTATTTCAGATTTAGAGAATAGATAAATAATTTTAATCAAAAAGAAAGATTAAAGAAGCATCTTAGAACAATTTCTATTGCTTTTTACATTAACAAACATAAAAATGTATTCGATTGTAATTTTTGTAAAATTCAATTATTTTTTAATTTATAAATTTAAATTTAATTCAAATTCAATTGTATTTTTAATTAAATCTCTCAAAATTTCAATTATTCTTAATCTAATTCTAAAAAATTTCAAAGATTATATTCCCTGAAATGTCAATTATTTGAAGAAATTTCAATTAATCGTTTATTGAAATTCAATTATTTTTAATATAATTATTGGAAATTTCAATTATTTTCAATGTAATTAAAAGAAATTACAATTACTTCTTTTTAATTAAATTAAAATTTAAATATAGGAATACATTCAATTGCGAGCTTTGTAAAATTCAATTATTTACCAATTATAAAATTGGAATTCATTAAAAATTCGATATTTTTTAAATCTCTAATGGAATTTAAAAAAAAAATTCAATTAATTTTCTTTAAATTTCACAACAGTGGAATTAATTTTTTAGAAATTTAATTAACGATAGGTACTGTTTTAATCATTTTTAACTGACATTCAGTGCAATTTCACTGATTGAAACCGTTAAAATAATAGAGTTACTCGAATCAGTCAAATTTCACTGATTTCTTTTTAGAATTTCCAAATATTTTCAAAAATTACCGATTGACATAAAAATCGCAAACATGAATTTTACCATTTTAAACTGTAAAGAATTTTTTAATACGTGATGCAATATTATTATTATTAATACGATTTTAATAATATTGAGGAAACTAAAAATGATTAAAAATTTTAATCAAATTAAATTTAAGGGAGCGTTCACAAATTACGTAACGCTAATTTTTGAAAATTTTGACCCCCCCCCCTCCCCCCATGTAACACAATGTTACATACATTAGCGCCATTTTTTCTGCTGTACATAACAAATAGCTAGACCCCCCCCTCCCCTTTATAATGTTACGTAATTTGTGAACGCTCCCTAATTTAAAACTGATTAAAATTTTAGGCTCAAAAATTGTTTGAATTTAAGAAAAAATATATTTAAGCTGAAGGTGATTCTATTGTTATATGATTTCAATCAGACAAGTATTATTTTGACGTATAACTTAAAACTTAAAAGTAAATTTAACTAACAAATAATTGTCTTTAAATCTTAAAGCATATAATTATTTTTGAAAATTACTTTCTGTAAAGAAAAATCGCATTAAAATGAAACATTCACTTAGTTAATAATTAATTTTTGTAATGTAAAAAAAATCTTCTTTTGCAAAAGAATACATGATCAATTATATTATTGTTATAATTATTTTTATTTTATAATTAATTCAAAATTGTAATGACAAATAGAAATCATTAGAACTTTTTTCACTTCTTTTCATTAAAAGACTAAAATTTTGTTAAATCTTATGTTTTGTCAAATTGAAATTTTGCAGATTTTTGCTCTTTACTTCTAAGCAAAATTAGAAAATTGTTAAACAACTGTGATTAAGAAATAGAAAATTTATTTATTTTTCATTATTTTTCTTTATGAATCACAATTTTTTTAACAAAATTATTACTGTAACTTCATCAAAATTATTTTCATCATTTTAATTCAATAATTATTATTTTCTAAAATTTAAGACTATTGTTTATGAAAATAATTGAATTCTTTAAAAAAAATTTATTATTTATAAAAATAATTGAATTCCTGTGAAATTTTTATTATTTATGAAAAGAATTAAATGTTTGCATACAATTTTATTAAAATTTTTTTTTAAATACTTAAATTCTTTTTGGGAAATTTTATTAAAATAGTAGATATTGAAAATCATTGAAATTAGAAAAATGCATTTTATTTTTGAAAATAATTGAAATTAGGACAAGAATTTTTTTGACATTTATATGAAAATAATTGAACTTTGGAGAAGAATTTTGTTATTTATAAAGATAATTGAGATTTTTACGAGAATTTTTTTCAAATTTTGAACATAGTTGAATTTTATAAGAAGAATTTTATTTTTTTTTTTTGAAAATAATTGAATTTCTGCAGTTATTTGTAATTTCTCCAAAATTGAATTTTTTTTAGTGTTTTCAACAAAAATTTAAATTAGAAAATTTAAAAAATTCTATTATTTTTAAAATTTCTAATTTTATTTAAGAAAAGGTAGTAAAAAGTTGGTTTGTTGTTAGTAGGAGTATAATTGAAAGTAGTGTTTTTCAAGCATGATACGCGCATACATATTTTGATAAACCTCAGTGTATAAATATATACTCCGATTTTATTATCTGGTATAGAAATGTATCATTGAAGTCAAAGTGCTTTGCCAGGTGAGATGAGAAGTGTTTATCCATCGAAAAAGGGTTAGTGTATAATAATACATAAATCTCTTGTATAATACAGTCTCAATATGTGAGAAAATTGTGCGCGCTTAACTTTTGTGTATATAACGAGTTAATCACAGATAATCACACTATACTCTATTCTTGTGCTGAAGGAGGTGAATTTTCAATAATAATTGGAAAAAAATCGCGTCCTCTTGGGCAATGACTTTTTCACGCGCCTCGAAATTTACATAGGGAAGAGTTCGTTTTGATGTTTGAGAAAGCTGTTTGTATTCCAGTCAATGCGAACCCTCCGGCATGAACTAGGAAAGTTTCTTTGGTTTTTGTCAATTGAAGAAAACACGCGGATGTTCCAAAGAGAAAACGATCCGAATCGTGGGAAGCTTGTTAACAACCACCTCTTATTTTTTTTTCTTTGTCATAAATTGTCAAAATCGCTCCTTTCCCTCTTATAAATTGAAATAATATAAATATTGCTCTCGAGAAATTGCTTGCACAAAAAAATGTGCTTTTTGTATTAGTTGATAGGAAATTCTAAGTGGTAGAAAATTTTTTAAAACTCTTGTAAACAATAATTAATTTGAATTTACCAAAAAAAAAAAAAAAAAAAAATGATTTCAAATATTAATTAAATTACACAAAACTACGTTAATTATTACGTTGAGAAGAGGTCACGATTTTACCGAGCGATAATTACAATTCCCATGTCTATATAGAATCACTATAACGCTTTTGTTTTGCCCCTGAGCAAAATCATAATTAACTAAGTATACGCCTTCACACATTTATCGAGAGACGCGGATATATTTAAGCTATATATATACACACAATGGATTCATCAATTTTATTCAATACAAATAGAACTTTACAATGTGTTAAAGTGTTAACCTCCAGGCCGAAAATGTAGAAAGTGTAATTTCTGACAGTTATGGTAGAATAGATTCAGTTAAATTACAGAACAAACAAAGAAGAAATATATATATATATACTGCTACTACACGTACCAATATAATGTAATGTAATTTAACATTTATTAATCACCAATTTATTAAATTTTAATAAATTTATTTCTTTTAGAAAAAGTATTTTTATAAATGATAATAAATGAAGAAAAGAATAGATCAATTAATGTTTGATATACTGTTGAATAAATAAATAAATAAATAAATAAATTTTTGTTTTAATGATGGGATTTTTTATAAATAAATAAAATAAATACAAAAATATAAATATAATATATAAAAATAAATAAAGAAGAAAAAGAATAAAAAAGAAAATAAGAATAAAAAGTACTAAAAATAATAAAAAAACATTAGGTACATAAAAAGTTAATAAAAAATTAAATAAAAACTATCAATAAAAAATTTAAAATAAATAATTTTTCGTTTCACTGTTGAACTTTTTCAAAAATTAACAAAAAAAATAATGAAAAGTATAAATAAAACAATAAAAAATAAAGAAAAAGTATGAATAAATATAAAGTTTTGTTTTACTCTTGGGCTTTTTTCATAAATAAATAAATTCAAAATAAAAAAATAAATAAAGAAGAAGAAAAAAAAGAACAAGGGAAAAGAATCCAAAAAGTATAAAACATAATTTAAAAAATTAAAA